ACAGGTTAGGTCCCAGACCATACTATGCCAGGAAGCCCAGGGGTCCTCCCCGACACCACTCCGGCGAATCCACATGTCTCTCGGCATCAAGGCTTCCCTGATAAGCTAGTTACTCAGCCAGGGGTGTCCCATTCCACCCATGTGGTCGTACTTGTCTTATGTTTGTATGAAATTCCAAGGAATCGGTCCTTAAGTGCGAGAGCGGGAAAATCGTACACCCGGTACGTTCCCCGGTCCGCGGTTTTTAGAAATTCATTTAGTTCGCAAGCACCGACCCAGGTGTCGGGTTTTCCAAATCTTTTGTAAAACCCAAGTTTTACCCAAGTTGTTACTCAGATTTTAAGTTTGAAGGCGACTGTCGATACTCGCACAGAGTGCACGAATATCGAGGCGCAACTGGGTGGTTACAAGGGGACATGGTATAACAATTAACAAAGGAAGGATCAAATGCAACAAATTAGGTAGGTCCGCCAATCTACCTTGCAGACGGGACAAACAGATTAAGCGTGATCCTATCAATGCATAATATTTTTCAAACAACATAATTAAATTTCAAATATAGGCTCAAGATGTTCAAAGGTGGCTTGCCTTGCTCGAGATCTGGAGCTTGATCCTCGAAATCCTCGCACTGCGGGTCTTCGGGCTCCGGAACTACACGCGAAACGGGACAACTCAACAAACGGCGAAAATAAAGCCCTATTAATGACCTCTAAGCGTGCCATTAGATAGATCTCGAGATTTGGGGAATTTTGGAAGTTGAACGGAGTCAACGGATTTACGGTTGGGAAGATATTGAATTTATAAGATTATTGAATTTTTGGCCTAAAGGAAAAGGATTTAATTAAATACTTTTTGGAAAAGAAAAAGAAAAGAAAGGAGGGAGGAAGTTTAGACTTTCCTCGGGCGGCTAGGGTGCGGCCCAAGGGATTTGGGGCGGCTCGGCCGAGCTTAATGGGCCGGCCGGCCCAAAAGGCGGCCCAGAGCGCGCGCGGGAGGGGAGGAGAGAGGGGACCGGTGGACCGGGCTCACCGCGCGCGGTCCCGGGTGGGACCCGCTTGTCAGCGGCTCGGCTCACCGCGCAGAGGGAGCACGCGGTGCACGCGCGCGGGCGGGGAAGGGACGCGGTGCATGCGCGCGGTCCGCGGTGGACGCAGGTGCGGCGGGCCCACGCGCAGCCTCACGGCTCGCGGTGGATCGCGCGCACGCGGAGGGACCGACCGGGGTCGGCCCGACCCGGTCTGGCTGAGCTGGCGCCGACGTGGCGCCTACGTGGCTGCCACGTGGGCTGGCGGGAGGTAGACGACGATCCGACCGCGAAAGGACGGCGGGCGGCGGCGGCGAGCGGCGGAGCGAACCACGGTGATACGGGCAAAAGCGAGCACATCGGGCGGTTGTTCGTGACGAGGGGAGACGAACCAACGGCTCGGATTCGCCGGAGGTTGCTCGACGGCGGCGGATTGTGGCGGCGGCAACCGGCGGCGGGAGAAGGGGAAAACGGCGACGAAGCTACGAGGGGTCGATTCCCGGCGGTGAGAGCATCTACGCGGCGTCGGGAACTCGACGCTAGCGTCGGATTGGACGGAACTACGCCGAGCGAGGCCGGCGACGAGCGGGTGCTACGGAGCTCGGGCGGCGACGGCGGCGAGCACACGGCGAGCGACGGCAACGGTCGGGGCGGCGCCGGCTAACTACGGGGAGGCTACTCAAGCTACTACCGAAAGCTAGGGGGAGGAGATGGAGCGAGGAGGAAGAACGGAGAGAGGCACTACCGTGCGGGACGGGGCGCAGTGACGAGAGGCCGACGGCGCGGGAGTGATCTCTCCGGCCTCGGGCCGAGGAAGAGGAAGAAGGGGGCGCGCCCGGAGTCCCCTTCCACGTCCACGAACGCACCGGCTCTCCCGGCGCTTGGCGAAGGATGGCGGAGGCGAGACAGAGCACGGGAGCGGCGACAACGGTGAGGAGGCGAATGGGAGAGGAAAGGAAGGGAGGGGGAAGACGGGTTTAAAAGGGTGGCAATGTCGGTTTGAGAGAGGGGAACCGACATGGGCGGTCAAGCCGGCGAGCTGGCGCTCCGGCTAGCGTCCAAAGCGGCGACAGGAGGTGACGCCGGCGAGAGGGGAAAAAGGGGAGAAAAAGAGGAAAAGGAGGGAGAGAAAGGGGCTCGCCCCTTTGCCGATTCGGGAAAAGGAGGAGGGAGCGGGGCGACTCGGCAGAGGGAGAGGGGCTCTCTGCCTCCGCCCCTTGGAGGCTAGCGCGCGGAGTGGCGGGGGCCGGGCGATGACGACGGCGATGACGGCGGGGCGGTTTGGAGCGGCGCGACGACACGGGCGACAGGCGCGGGCTGGCGCGGCAGAGGGTGACGGCGGCGGCGACCGGGCGGTCGGCCACTCGGCACGCGCGCGCGGGAAACAACGGGCGGCGCGGCTGGGCAGCGGGACCGGGCGACGCGGACGGCGCAGACGACGCGGCTCGGGCGGGAAACCACGCGGGCGCGCGCGCGAGCGACGGCGCGCGGGGCCGGCTTTGCGAGCGGGGAGCTCGCGCGAGAGGAGGGGGCACTCGGCGCGGCTCTCGCACGCGCGAGCAGCGAGCGGGGGGGGGGGAACGCGCCGGGGGGGAGCGAGAGAGAGAGAGAGAGAGAGAGAGAGAGAGGGCCGGGGGAGAGATGGGCCGAGCGGAAATCGGCCCATCGAACCCGGGGGAGGCAAACTAGACTTTTGCGGAGGAAATTGATTTGGAGGGATTGGATTCGGAATTGAACTCGACGATAGATCGGGGATTGAGATCTTGAGATGGCACGGACACTAGACAACAAGCAAAGAAACAAATTTCGCAATTAGGGTTTTTAAGAGAGAATTTTCCCGCTAGGCGCCACGACGGAACGGGCGCTACAACAGGTACCACTGATGTTAGTAACCGAAAAGCTTTGCCATGACAAGGCTAATGTGTTTGGCACGTCATGGATTGCGGGTAAAGCGTACATCTACTGCAGTATGTATATCCTCAAAACTATTCGAATAGCCGTGCTCGCGGTTATCGGGCATTGGGACTCACTATGGCATCTTGGATAGAAATCTAATTCGGAATTTTATTAAATACTGCTGCATTTAAAACATTACAGGTTTTCTACTTCTACATTCTCTGCTTTCTGCAAGTAAGCCTAGCTTTACACAGATATTATCATTTCATACATTCATTGTTGATTAAATATAATAGCTTGCTGAGTACGTTGTACTCACTCTTGCTTCAACCCCCTTTTTCAGAGTCCATTTGGAATTCTTGCCGAAGCCGGGAGTTCAATCATATAAGTTAGTTTCATTTCAACCTAGTTCTCAAGTATAGATTAGTTAGATGGTTTAAGTCTATAATAAAACATTAGTGTTTAAATACTTCTATAGCCTCTGTTGGACTAGTTAGCCACAATCTTGTAAATTCCCCTATTATTTTATGTAATAATATCTCCTTTGGAGTCTTGTCCAAATGTATGCAATGAAGATCCAGATTGTTGAACCTGTATCAATCTACTGATCCAGGGCTTGATACAGTCTAAACATGTCGGTTTCCGAATCATTAGTTTTGGGATCCGACATGCGGATAGTATGCGGATGCAGAGCGGATTATTTCGGATGTTGGAAATGGTGCGGAATCAGTGCAGACCCGTAGGTTTGGAAACGGATTAAATTTGTCGAATGTTATGCATGTATGCAACCAATACACCATTGAGTTAGCATTGTAAGGGACAACAATGCAATAATCAATGAACGATCCATCATAATAATTATGTAATTAAGTGCTAAATAACATGAATACAAAATATCCATAAATATAAAAACACAGCTAAGCAAGTATGAGCTAGATGGTAAAAGCCTCGGACTAAAGAATCTAGGTTAATTGATGAATTAGGCCATTAGATAAGCCAGCACATGTTACATGCAACAGATAGAGTGGTTAGATGGGTTGACAATCTCGGATTATTCAGCAAATGACCTATCAGATAATCCTGCATAAATTTCGAATAATCTGCATCCGCTGGATTTTAGAAATACCATATCCACATCAGAATTCACATCGTACTATTCGCATCCATATTTATCGGAATTTTAAAAACCCATACCATATCCTTATTTTGGACGAATTTGGAGCGGATCCGTTTTCACCCCCTACGTCCATCTGTGTCTACCGCTTACCACTAATCCTGCTCATAGCCATCCGTTTAAGCTTGATAAACCTTGCCACCCAGACACCAACAACCTCGAATCCTAAGTGATTGGGGCCACCGCCGTTGTTGGAGCAGGAGAAGATCATTAAGCATGGATCTAGGAGCAGATGGGGGTGTTAAAAAATGTTAAAGTATATGGTAGTTAGAGTCATATTAGGATTTGATTGATTTGTGTGGATTTCTTCCATATCTGTAATCCTTCCTTATTTCCTCCCCATGTACTATTATATATTTTGCCCCCCTGAGGCTCAATACAATTATCCCACGTTACGCAATATTTTCGTCCCCCTATACTATCCAACATGGTATCAGAGCGAGCGACCTAGAGCCGCCGCTCACGCTTCCGCCGCCGCCGTCCCCGGGAGGGCTCCGATCTCCTGGGGGTGGCCAACTTTTTTTTCTCTTTGCATTGTCAAGTCGTCATCCTGAGAGATCGATCTCTCAGGCATTTGCGTCGTCATCAAGTAGCAACAGCGTCTCTGGTCATCGTCGATCTTGCCGTCACCCCTTCTTCCGCCGTCGGCCTTGGGACCGTCTCCATCGCCAATCTGTGTTGCGGCACCGGAGGGATTGATTTGTGTGGATTCCTTCCATATCTCTTCCCCATATACTCCTATATATATTGACTCCCTGAGACTCAATACAATTATCCTACGTTACGCAATATTTCCCTCTCTCTATACTATCCAACAAAAAAAAGGCAAGAAATTAAATCCCCCTCAATTTTCCGTCGATGACAGTTAGCATATCCGTAAATAATTTGTTTTTGAGAGTGTGCAAATTAAAGAACAGCTTAGCAACATATAGTATTCCAGCAAACCAATTACCAGCAAACGTGGAACCAATTAATGTGTTACAAAATGTCTTTGACTTTGAAAAGTAGAGCCGCAAACTGAGAAAAATAAAATAAAATCCGGCAAGAGATAAGAGAGAGAGAGAGAGAGAGCCACAAATAACTGATCGATTGTCGTGGAGCCTGAACGCGTACAATGGCCGGCACGTACGTACGTCAATTGATTGATTGGTTAAAGAAGAATGAAGCAATCAATCGATATGATGGAGATGATCAGTCGACGTAGATGCCGCAGGTGGGTCTGATTTGGCCGTCGGTGCCGGTGAGGACGCCGACCCTGCCCATGTTGATCATGGAGACGGCGAAGTCGGCGAAGAAGGTGTCGAGGTTGGTGTCGTTGGTCATGAGGCGGACGTAGGCGCCGGTGAGGCTGTCGTCGATGAGGCCGGCGTCGGAGCCGAGCAGCGCCTGGTGCGCCGCCAACGACTTGTAGTAGCCGTTGTCGAACTTCACCGGCGTGAGAGCGTCCAAGGGCTCCACGCTGGCCACGTTCCCCGGCTTGCACACCGCCGCCAGCTGCTTGGCGAACGCCGGGTCCAGCGACGGGTCCTGGTCGCCGGCGCCGGTGAAGTTGTACAGCCGCTTGGAGAAGGAGGTGCAGTGCGCCACGCCGATGGTGTGAGCGGCTGCATGCGTATATATATTCAGTTTAATGATCGATCGATCGATCAGTGTTTGATTGGGCAAATACTACACGTAGGTACTTACCGGAGAGGACGACCATGTCCTTCATGGTGAGGTTCTTGACGGCGAAGTATTGGGTCATGACGGTGACATTGCCGTCGGACGGCGGCAGGTTGGTGAGCGCCTCCGCCATGTTGGAGACGTTGCCGTCGCGCCGTCCGGTCTCCACCTCGTACTCGGGGCCATCGCTCTGGATCATATATATATATATATATATATATCGATGCAGCAAGGTAGGTTAGCTAATACGCATTATGCATGCATTGACGATATGTAGAGGAGGCCGGCGTGCGTGCGTGCGTACGAAGTAGACGGCGTCTCGCGCGGCCATGGCCATGATGTCGGCGCAGGAGACGACGAGCGGGCAGGTGGCCTCGACCTTGGCCTTGACGGCCTCGATGGCCTCGTAGCCACGCACGGTGAGGTTTGGGTCGGCGTCCTTCTCGGCGGTGGCGTTGTGGGAGTTGAGCATCAGGGAGGCGTCGCAGCCGCGGACGAAGCAGTCGTGGAAGTGCAGCCGGAGGAGCCCGGCTCGGAGCGTCGTGTCGTTGGAGAAGATCCCCTTCAGCTCGCTCCGCACCACCTCCTCCACCCCAGGGCACGACGTGTTGTAGAACCCGTACTGCAGCTGCGCCCTCGCCTCTCCGGCCGCCATCGCCGCCACCACCACCACCACCACCGCCGTCCACCTGCACAAACTCCTACTCATCATCCCTGCCATTGCTAGCTGCTGCCTTCTGCCTCGATCGATCGATCCGCTTAATTTCCTTCCTTCTTCTTGTTTGTACGTAACGTACTTGGTGGTGATCGTCCACGATGATGGATGTACTCCTATTTATAATAAATGTTATACACACCAGCTAGCTTTAGCGTGTTTAAGGATCGAAATGATTCAATTAAATGTTTGATAATGGGTATTTAATTAGTTAACAGCCAAATAATGTGAGATCAATGGAATTGGGAAGCTATACTTGATTATTCCTCGGGGGCGGTTGACTTTGATAATCGATATATGGAGAATATATACTTCATGGTTGCCATGACATGAACTAGCTAACACCACACCGCCGAAACAAACATGCAAGCCATTATGCATGTGCACAACTAACTCTGGCTCTTCCAATTATTTTACTCTCTTCTCCGCCGTGTGGTGCAGCTAGCTAGCTAGCACAAAGCTTATCTAATTCTAAGCTAGCTAGAGATTAATTAGACAGTTAATAACTACACATAAGCAGGCATGGAACCCAATATTAAATTAATATCTGCCAAAGAAAATACTAGTACTCTCCACTAGCTAGTTGCTCTCTTTGGCTGATAATATTTGTTGTTTTAGACACGAGTGAGGTTAAACTTTATAATTTTTTTATTATGAATCATTTTTTAAATATTTGTCTTTTCGAATATGGTGATTACATGTATAGATTAGCCTTTAAAATTCCTTTAATAAAATCATATATTTGTTAACATTTTTAAACATGTTAGAATGGAAAATAATGGTCAAAGTTGTTTTTTTGGAAACCATGTCCTTATTCAAAACGTTAAGTATTATTAACCCGGAGTACTTTATTTATGCTGTTGAATCGGTAATCTGGAGTAATGTGTAGTGGTTTCCAACATGCTGGATCATATCCTGGATTTCGTGCTATATCCTTGCTCAGGCATTCTCGGTCAGAACAGCTGGCCTGTTGTGCCACATGTGTTGGCAAAGATTATTCTTAACCGATTAATGCGGAATACAATAACAAATTGATGAAAATCTGGTTTTTTCAGCGTCCTACAACGGTTCAGACGCAACGATGTTCTTCAACATCATCGTTTTTACAATATTGATTGATCCGTGGACATTTATTTTGGTCTATATATCTATGGAGTACATAGAAAGTTTATTGTATATACACGTATGCCTGTCAATACAGAAATAATACATTTTGGGTTTATAACTGTTCTAGCTAGTGGTCACGCGTTAATCTCTTCAATATAATGCAAAGATTATTCACTCAAGAAAAGCTACCAGGTGAAGCTAACCAGATCATTGATCGTTTGTGGTGTGTTAATTTAATTAGCATATGTACTGTAGTCAACGGTTCATGGCCAAGGGAGAGTGCAGAGAAAACAGAGGATACGCATGTCAGGATGAGGAAAATTAATCTGTCGTGCTTAATTAGCAGCTCTTGCATGCTCTGTATCCTCTTAACACTGGCACGGATGGTAGGATTAGCTCATTATATTGAGCATGTTAGTCAGCTGGTGCTGAGTACTTGTGATATCTTTAAATTTGACCTTTTACAAGTTGAAACGGAAATTACAAATATATATGATTTTCAATAGTACACGTATTATACTAGTTAGATTTTACTTTACCTTTGTTTTAACTAGTATAGATTGAATTTAAACTAGCATGACTGTGAAATGATGTGCCACATGAGTCCAATCGATTATTCACAACAAATCACGATTCATTTGGCCCTTGATTGACGTCCGTCCGGCCACAGTTACAACAATCGGAGATTTCATCTCCCAAGATACAAATTTGTCCCTTTGGAAATTAAGTAAACAAACAAGGGTTATAACCCTGCACACATGACAAATTAAAAGAAAATCAAGGAAAAATCATTGGTTTTTGTAAAACAAATCCAGAAATGACGACGAAACGACGTACGAACAATCAGTACAACAGTTTGTCCAATTTGCACGCACGCATGCATGTAAAATGTGTGAGATCGATCGATGGATCGATCAGAAGAGCAGCACGAGGACCCCCGCGAGGAGGAAGAGAAGCGAGCCGGCGAGCGAGGTGGCGAGCATGGAGGCGGCGGCGGAGGACGGCGGCGACGGCGGGTTGACAGCAGAGCACTTGTGCCTGATCTCGCCGTGGGAGTGGGTGAGCACGCCGATCTTGCTCATGTTGACGAAGGAGACGATGAAGTCGGCGAAGAACTCGTCGTCGGAGGTGGCGTTGGCCTGGCGGAGGACGTAGGCCTTGGTGTCGGCGTTGAGGAGAAGCGCGGCGTCGGTGGCGAGGAGGCCCCGCTGCGCGGCCACCTGCTTGTAGTAGTCGGTGTCGAAGGTGGTCGGGGTTGGGGGGTCGAGGTCGACGAGGGTGTCCACGTCGCCGACCTTGCACTGCCCGCGGAGCGCCGTCGTGTAGTTGGCGTCCAGCGTGGGGCCGCCGTTGGAGGAGGAGTTGCTGTAGAGGCGGGTGGAGAAGGCGGAGCAGTGGGCCTTGCCGATCGTGTGCGCACCTGCAAATGCCCAACCCAACCCCAAATGTCATGATGGGCCTAATTTACATACTAGTCTCAATGGGTCAGATTCATGCTATGAGGTGGACAGGCAGGTCCTATTCATGCTGCGTGAGGTGGAGGTTGGGATTTTGGGAAATGGCCCAATAGAAAGCCTACCATGTGCATAACGAATAAAGTTCATTTCACCTCTCTCAGCTATGGTGTCCAAGTTTCTTTTTCATCTCTCAACCGCAAAACCATGTGTCCATGTCTGGAGGATCCCCAACTTCTAAAACCAGTGCAAACTGAATACCTTGAAATTATTAAGAGCGCGTGTCACCTCCGTGCCTCTTTCGAACTAAAATGCTACCTTGTGCCACATCACCTAAAAGATCAGGCCAACGTGCCATATAAAGTGCCACGGTTGCCAAAACTGTTCACTATTCTATTCAGTGATTTATTTGCACTAGTTTTAAAAGTTGAGAGATGACATATATCCGGTTTTGTAATTGAGGGGTGGGATTGAAACTTGACTCGCAATTGAGCTGACATAAAAATAGACTTCTTATTTAGATTGCACTCTTATTGAGTCCAACCCACTAAATCTCCGGCTTAATTTAGATACTGAAGCACTTTGTAGAGAAGCCAAAAGAAAACTCCCTAGAGTATATACTCCCTTAGCCCCAAGAAAAACTAACTTCTAAGAATTATATATATATATTTTTAGAACAGAGGGTGTATGATTCTCCTTCTGTTTCTAAACATAAGAAATTCTTTCTAAGTTATTTAGCAAAGATTAAGATAAGAGAAACATTATTTATTTGTCACTTTGTTGGTTAAATTTTAAATTTTAAATTACTTGGATTCCCTTCTAAACACCTGATTGGTTAAAAATGCTGGGATTCTCATAATCAATGTCTTCAAAATGCTTATATTGTGTATAAATTTAAGTCCTAAGAATACTTATATTTAGAAATTGAGATAAATAGGATCGACCACTAGCTTCTCTCCTTCACAGTCCCACTTTTACCATGCATACAACGACATGACCTCATACACAATGTATGTACAACAGGTTGATGACAACTATATATATAAAATGGGACTTTCTTTACCTTTTCAAACTTTTACTCTCTCATTTTCCACGCGCTCGCTTCCAAAACTACTAAACGCCGTGTTTTTTTAAAAAAAGTTATATTGAAAAGTTATTATAAAAATCATATGGATTTTTATGGCACGCAAAACGAGAAACATTATTAGCATATGATTAACTAAGTATTAACTGTTATAAATTAAAAAAAATGGATTTATTTATTTATTTTAAATAACTTCTATATAGAAACTTTTAAAATAACACACCATTAAAAAGCGTGCTAACGGAAAATAAGAAAGCTGAAGAATAGAACAGCGCCTTAGTGTAAATTAAACATACAGTACATCTGATAGGACTAAATTACGGAACGTACATATGTATAGAGTGTGTGCGTATGTACCTGAGAGGACGGCAAGATCCTTGGCGGTGAAGTTGAACTTGGCGAAGATGGTGAGGAGGTCGTTGACGGTGGCGCCGGGGGCAGGAGAGTTGGCGGCCACATCGGCGGCGTTAGAGCTGTTGCCATCTCTCCGACCTGTCGGAAGTGGGATGTACGGCCCTTTCGTCTGTTCAGGCATGGCATATATATTTGCATTAGTTACTGCTGGTTCATGAATCATGATGACGTACAAGAACTCGATCCTAATGATTAGTTAGTTACCAGGCGCACGACGTCGCGGGCGGCGAGGGCGAGGGTGTCGGCGCAGGAGACGATGCCGGGGCAGGCGGCGTCGAGCTTGGCCTTGATGGCGTCCACCACCTCGTACCCTTTCACTCCCTTGTTCAGCGGCGAGTCCTTCTCCGCCTTGTTCCCCGGCGTCGAGTCCAGCAGGATGGACCCCTCGCAGCCGCCCACGAAGCAGTCCACGGAGAAGAGCCTCAGCACCGGCCCGGCGAGCTCCGGCGACTTGGCGAGGATGCTGGTCATCTCCTTGTACACGATGTCCTCCGCGTTCGGGCACGTCGTGTTGTACGCCCCCACGAACACGTGCGCCGACGACGTCGACACCATGCCCAGCACCACCACCACCACCATCACCACTGCTGCAGCTCGCAATTCATGATCCGCCGCCATTGTTTGCTAGCTAGCTAGCTATCTGCTGCTGCTGCGGGGCGGACTGGATCGATGGATAGATGTGTACGTGTGATGCAAGGATGGAGACTTCTGCAGGTCCAGTATAAATAGTCCACCCATCCAACGACTAATGGTGCAAAATGCTCTTGATTAATCAATATGCGGCTACTTGCAATATTGTTGCGACCAACAAATTAGTAAAAGTAAGCTCATCAATTATCCACTTTCTGTTTTGATGGAGCCCGCTTGCATTGTCATGGCATCATGCATACGCATGAGATGGGATCTAGCCTGCTTAATTACTAGCTCCTCTCATACATTATTTCTGAGAGCAGGATGATAATATAGAGGTTCTTAATTAATTACTCCACCTTATATTTGTGCTGAGTTGGATTTAAGAGAAACAAGACAAGTGAGCCGCAGATCTATTGCCAACTTTTGCAACAAGTTTTATGACAGTGAGGTGAATCAGGTATAATATGTATGTATCTCTAACCCTTTTTTTTTGGAAAGAGTACATCTAACTATTGTACTCCGTTAGCTATTAAAATGATAGAGCTCTCGCGGTTAGCTTTATTATTATTATTATTATTATTATTATTATTATTATTATTATTATTATTATTATTATTATTAGTCTTGCTCTTTTTTTATAATAAGATAATGAAAAAAGTACTACATCTCCGACCACACAGAAACAATAAGTCTTTACTAAAATAAATAAAAATATTGGTGTGATAAAATTTTATCTACTCTTAAGAAATAAAAACAGCTAAAATGCTAAAAGAACTGCATAAATTATTAGTCTTGCTCTTAATTCAATTCCTTCGCTAGTTATCAGCAGTTTAATTAACATTGATATTAATATTTTACACAATAACACACACATATATATAGGTAGCTAGCTGGAAATTAGTAACTCGATCGATTGCTAGCTGGTAGTAGTTGAATCAAAATAACAAATAGGCCGATGTGCGTACGTTGGATGGATGGGTACTACACGTATACTGGTACGTACTTCTTCCCTTTCTGTACTTGCAACTTCTCTTCCATTTGTACTACACGGCACCATGCATGCATATGATAGGAGAATGTCAACGGGAACGGCTCCAAAAAATATATTTTTAATATGCCAATTAATTATATATATGTATTACATATGGACACGACGATAACCTTGTTTAATCTGATATATGACCGTGCCAGAGTATACCTAGTAGCTTCACATATGTAATTTTTTTTAATTATATATGCAGCCTTTTTAAACTTAGCCTATCAAACAAGAAACTTAGCTCTCAAATAACCCAATTTGAAATTCGCTCCTATGGAGATTTGAACTCAGGACCTTGGGGTGCGTGCTACTTAGGTCACTACAACCACTAGGCTACATGCACTTTCACGCTTCACATATGTAATATCGATCGACCATAACATATATATAAATGTAGTACCTAGTAGAACATATTTATAGCTAGTAACTTAATTGAGGGCATAATTAGAACACATTAATTTCTCGATATCCACATACATATACTCCCTCCGTCCCAAAAAAAAATAGGTTTATGTGTTCAACGTTTGACCATTTGACCTATTTAAATTTTATGAAATTAAAAATAATTAGTCATGCATAAAGTATGATTTATGTTTTATTATCTAATAACAATAAAAATAGTAATCATATTTTTTTTCAAATAAGACGAAGAGTCAAACGTTGTATTCCAAAACTGAAAAATGGAGTCTTCGTGGGACGGAGGGATTATATTAATTTGCTGTTGTGCGTGAAACTAAACAGTTATAATATCAACTTGATCCCATAATCGACCTCTGCACGCCTGTAGGTCAGCTCCCGTCCATTTCAAATGATCCAATCGATCAGCTGTACGCCTGTACTACAAGAATTAATCAAGATATTTTTCTTGAGGAGCAGGAGCACAAACCACCAAAAGAAAAGCATCAAAACCGCTAGCATAATAAGTTTTATCGGCCAACTTTAAGGAATAGTGGTCAAGTGATCTAGAGAGATCGAAATTAATTCCAATCAGCGATTATTTTTCACTTTAACTTTATCTATTTTTAATATAATTATTCCTTAATCTTATAAATTCTGATGTACTGATTACTACTTTAACTATGAATTTATTTTGAAATAAATGAAAGAAGATAAAAATAAACTTATTATGAAGGGGGAGTATTTCGGTCTCTGCTAGCTAGTTCTCAGTGGAGATAGATAGATAGATACTCCTAGATCCGTATATATGCTGGCCGTCACGCTCGAAACCATCATTTTCAATATCGGATCGAAGTCGGTCGATTGACATAAATTCTTTCTTAAAACTTGAATATATATATATATATATATATATATATATATATATATATATATATATATATATATATATATATATATATATATATATATATATATTCCTCGGCGTAATTTGACTTGTGCGCATCAAATTGGATATCTGAATTAGTACTATGTGTACTTCATCGATCTAGCTCTCGAGAGGTTAATTACCTGCTATATATGAAGTCGTGACGTACGCCGATAATTAATCGAGTGTGTGATCCATCGCTAGAACCTTTGCGGTCGCGGGCTTTGCCGCCGGCGCTGGGGAAGACGTACAGCTAGTCGCTGCCATGGGCATATCGATCACAGGTCTCCTCGACGCTTATGCAACATGGACTGTTTTATATTAATTAAAGCTTTGCCCTCCTCCTTCTGGAGATGTGTGTCATGCAAGCGCCGCTAGCGAGCACTCCCTCCCTCTCTTAAGCCTTAATTACATATACTTAACACTAATTATAGAAATTAGGAAAGATTTTGGAGGTTTTTTTGAGATTTTTTTACTAACAGATTGAAAATTTTTAAGTTAAATTTGAAAACTTTTGATTTAAGTTTTAAATTTTAAAGTCAAATTTGAAAACTTTCAATTCAGATTTGAAAACTTTTAACTCGACATTTGAAAACTTTTAACTCAGATTCGAAAACTTTCAACTCGAGAATCGAGATTTGAAAACTTTTAAATCCAAATTTGAAAATTTTGAAAACTTCCAATTTAAGATTTGAAAACTTTCAACTCGAGATTTGAAAACTTTCAAGTCCAGATTTGAAAATTTTGAAAAACTTTCAAATCAAGATTTGAAAACTTTCAAGTCGAGATTTAAAAACTTTCAAGTTCAAATTTGAAAAATTTTCAACTTAAAATTTAAAAACTTTCAAACTCAAAACATACTAAAAAGATTAAAAATAATAATCAGAAAAAAGTGGAAAGAAAAAACGAAAAAAATCGTTAAAAAAAACGAAAAGAAAAGCGTGGGAGGAGGCGGTGCGTGCCAGCGGGCCGGCACTAGGCCTTCTGGGCCCGAAACGCGCGCTGCTGGTGTGCACGGGAATTAGCGATTCCGGTGTCATGTTGGTTTCCTGGCTACAAATCTCGATGGGCCAGCCCCATTTGGTATAGCGGCCCAAATTTGAGTGCATTGGTGGGCCATATTCTGAGAACTACTTTGGTGGGCCATATTCTACGTACGGTACCTTCTCTCCTATCCTACTAATAAATCATGTAATAAGTCTACTTTGTATCTTTTAACGATTTGCTTTATATTGAATCACCTTTCTCAACTGTAAAACCGGGTATAAAACCTTCTTTATCATTAAAAACCGGTGCAAATCAATTTCTTGGAGATTTGGGAAGCAGTTTTTGCTGACGTGGTATGTTGTTTTTCTTTTCATTTCCTTTTTATCCATCTCATATGATTAATGCGGATGCTTAGGCGGGACTCACCTATAAGTCTCTATCTTCTTTCTCCATCTCTCCCATATTTACTCCTTCCCTTTCATTGCGCTAGCATGCCGTTTCCACTCGGAGAAGCATCCCCAATTGTCCCTCGCGCGCCCGCCAAGTTAAGAGTTGTCTATGAAATCTAAGATTAATTATAAAATAGAATTTAAGAACTGTATATAAAATCTAGATCTTATAAAAATAGAAACTAAAAGATGTATATGAAATCCAAATATACTTATAAATATAATAGTACATACAGAAATAAAATTTCAGAGTTGTATATTAAATCTAACTCTACGTGATCATATCCGTTGAAACTGCGCGGTGCAATCCTCTAGTTTAATTTAATTGACACTTGTGAATGGGACAATCTAAATCAATTAAAATTGACCAAGATGTTAAATAATGGAGGCCTAGCATCAAATTATCAAATCTTTCACATTGGGCCTTAGCTTTTCTCAGAAAGAGAAAAAAAATTCTAGCCGAAACAAAGTGGATCAAGAAAGCATTTTTTTTATCTTCCTTATTAATATATGGGCCTATCAGCTGGATCGCTACATATGATGTCATTTTAAAGATTAAAATGTTCGGATAAAAGGTTTCAAATGAAAGTTTTTTTGACGGAAGTTTTTTAATAGAAGTTTTCATGAAAAACCGTACTTTGTGTTGGGAGCACAATTGCGCTAAATAGCAATCCGCTATGTAGGTATGCCTCCAACAGTCCAACTCAATCATGATCTGGATCAAGGTTTGCAATTTCGGTAACCACCGAAATTTGAATTTTTTTTTGTGTTTTTTAGCGATATTATTTGAAATTGTAACTGAATTTGAATAACTTTTGATCAGATTAAAAAAAATCGAAAATTTCAGTGGATATTTGTGCTTGCCGGTGGGGTTTGAAATTTCAAACCCTGAACTGGAATAATCTCGGTGCGCTCTATCAAAGCCAAAAAAAAGAGGTATTCGCAACAAATTACCATATTCATCTATTTCACATAAAGAGATTGTTTTATTTGTGCTTGCTAGGGATGAAAACGGTCGGACAAGCCCTATACCATTTTAATTTTTATTTTTTTTCTCGAAAACAGAATCGGAATGGTAGACCTAAAAATAGTAACGATATCGGTAATATTAGTATATCAGAAGCGGAACCATCGGAACGGAACATACCAATATTGGTCAGAAGTCAAAAATTCATGTCGGAATCAACGGAGTGTGACATAGCACACATTTAACTATGCACGAAGATGACTTTTTAACTTTATTCTTGCATCACCACACTCCACGTAACACCGTTATATATATGATGATTAATGATATGATAATAAGTTTGATGAACAATATAAACAAAGTTCAATAATACTTCAACATAACATTGATGAGTTGAGGAGACCAAAGTTCAGCAAAACCAACATGCCATGTTATAGGGTTAATAACATTTTCTTTGGTCACTTCCTATTTTTAATGGGCTGCAAACCTACCAGGCTTTCTTCATTCATGGGCTTCCAATGGGTTGGGCTGGTTGAGCCACTTGGGAACTTTCGGAATTTTGATGGAAATTACAGTACAAATATGGTTACCGACAAAACGGTCGGGAAAACCTCCATCTCATTTCCGTTACCATTTTCGGAAGATATTACCGTTTCTATTTTCACCACCGTTGGTTACAGATACCGACTAAAACGGTCGGTGCAAACTGGAAACGGCAGCTGTCCGTTTTCACCCCTAGTGCTTGTGCTTGCCGGTGGGGTTTGAAATTTCAAGAAACCCTGATCTGGAATAATCTCGGTGCGCTCTATCAAAGGAAAAAAAAAGGCATTCGCAACAAATTGCAATATTCGTTTGTTTCACATAAAGAGTTTTTTTTTATGTTAAATCATTGATCAAAGAGATCCCTGAATTTAATTGTCTGAAATGCTACAGGCACCGCACGTCATGAATTGAAGGAAGAATAAACTAAAATGAATTAATCCTAACCAATTATTACAGCACGCAAATCAAATCATATCGGTCCATGAATAGTAGAAAAATAAAGTGAATCCATATCCATCACAAACACACACTATGACGACGTACACTAGCAATTAAGCTACATAATTAGCTAGCTAGGGTGAAGAGAATGAATGAATTAGCTAGGTTGAGTTGACGACGTTGCACTTGAGGCGGATCTCGCCCTGGTCTCCCGTGAGCACGCCGATGGCGCCCATCTTCACCATGGAGTGAGCGAAATCCTGGAAGAAGTGGCCGTCGTACCTGCCGGTGGCGGCGAGGCGGATGTAGGCGCTGGTGAAGGGGTGGTCCATGAGGCAGGCGTCCGACCGGAGCAGCGCCCGCCTCCTCACCACCTGCCGGAAGTAGCTGCTGTCGAACCTCGTGAAGCTCCCGGGGTCCATCTCCGCCGTCACGTTCCCGTCGTACGGCGGGGCGCCCTCCTTGCACTGCTTCCGCAGCCTGTCGGCGTACGCGCCGTCGAGCTTGAGCGGCGGGTCGGCGCCGGGGCCGTAGAGGCGGTCGGCGAAGTTTGGGCAGTGCGCCTTCCCGAGGGTGTGGGCGGCGGAGAGCACGACGAGGTCCTTGACGTCGAGGCCCTTGGCGGCGAAGGAGTCCACCATGCGGGAGACGTTGCCGCAGAGCGGGGGAAGCTGACCGCCGCAGCTGGCGGCGGTGGAGGAGCGGCCGTCCCTGCGGCCGAGCGGGACGTGCCAGTAGGGGCCCTTGGCGAGGACGACGGCGTCGCGGGCCATGAGGGCGAGGAGGTCGGCGCAGGAGACGGTGGCAGGGCAGGCGGCCTCGAGCTTGGCCTTGACGCGGGCGACGGAGTCGAAGCCACGGAGGGACTTGTTGGGGTCGGAGTCCCTCTCGGCGGCGTTGGCGCGGGTGGAGTCGAGGAGGACGGAGGCGTCGCAGCCCTGGACGAAGCAGTCGTGGTAGTGGAGGCGGAGCAGCGCGGCGGCGAGGTCGGGGGACGCACGGATGATCCTCGCCGTCTCCCGGAACACCATCTCCTCTGCGTGCGGGCACGTCTCCCGGTAGTACCCCGTCCGCAGCTGCCCCGCTGCCGCTGCCGGTGGAGCAGCAGCAGCATTATTATTCGACGCCACTAGCATGAGCATCACCATGAGCCATGACAGCCGCAGCTGCGACGCCGTCGAGGAGATTCTTGCTGCTGCCGCGGCGGCCATGACAGCAGCTGCCTTAGCTAGTAGATAGACGAAGAAGAATCTGGCTGGCTGGGTGTGTGTGTGTGTGTGACACTGTCACTGATGATCGATCCGCAGGAGCTAGGCAGGCTGGTTAAATTAGGTAAGTAAACGGGCTGGACGGACTGATCGATCGAGTTGAGAGTTGAGTGTGCAGTGTGACACTCCGATCCACTACTGTCCTAGTGTGAATGAGTTATTAATATGTGTGCTTCGAGATCCTGCCCGGCCGGTGCATATGCTTAATCAATTCGTCGGTAAGTTGACCTTGCTGATTTAACAAGCTGCATACTTGCCTCACCTCAGCTGCAGCTGGAATTCATTAAGAATCATGCATATATTCTAGAGATATAGAGTATCTTTGCGTTGCCGTTACGCTGGCCGGTGATCTAGCTGCCTAGGGATTTTACTAAGTACCAACAAGCTAATGTAAGATACTACTTACTACTTCCTCCGTTTTAAAATAAGTGCAACTCTACAGTTCAAACCTTTGTTCTAAAATAAATGTAGCCAACTATACTCCCTTCGTACTCATAAAGGAAGTTGTTTTGGACAACGACACGGTCTACAAAACACAATTTTGACTTCTTGTTTCTATAACAATATTTCTTGAAAAGTGATATATGTATATTTTTATGAAAATATTTTTCAAGACAAATTTATTCATATAATTTTTACATTTTCAAACTCAACAACTTGAGAGTTATTTATGATTTATATTCCCAAGGTTTGATTTAAACATTATCCTAAACGACTTCTTTTACGAGTATGTAGGGAGTACTTATTTTGAAACAGAGTGAGTACGTTTTACTAATATGACGATCAATTCATAAACAGACCATAGGCAGGATATGAGGAGCAGATGACTATGTATTTAGCAGAGGGATTCTAATCGCACTCGAGTGAGTGTCCATTTATTACATATCAACTAAATGGTTATGAAAAAAATTAAAATAGATTACCAAGATAAATTAATACGTAATAAACTACTTCATAAATGTGCAAGTTTGAATCAATCAAAATCTATAAGTTGTAAAAAAACAACAATTTAAACTCTAACTAATATACATATATTTATAGTCAAATTTATTACTTGTATAAATCAAATTTGAAATTGCAGGTTTATGGTGAGATATTATATACCGATCTATCTTTTTTTTTAAAAAAAATATTTAGTTAAAATTCAATAAACGAGTTGTTGTATTAAAAGAGTTGTTGTATTAAAAGAGTTTCCCTACAAGCTACATATATAGCCTGGACAACCAAGATGGGCCTCCAGTCGGCCTACTCAATTATAATGTACGGGCCTCATGCAAACGACCCCAAAAGACAGATATCATGGGCCTGATGGCTGTAGTAGAGTAGTAGTACACTGGCCGGCTGTCCCGTTCAGTGCTGTCCATAAACATATCAGACATTGACCCAACATTTCTTTGTGAACTAACACAATCTTTCCTTACTTTCATCAATACTGCTTGGCGGCTTGGCATGCATTATCTTAAGCCTAAGTTATGTGCAGTTAGGATTTTCCATTCATCACAATCCAGGTGAAAAACTTACATTACATTTGGGCTCTTTGATATGCCAAATTAAGGCCCCACTTGAATTGGAGGATTCCTAAACGAAATATGGAGGATTCTAATCTTATGGGAAAAAAATCCAATGAAAGCATTTGAAAGAAATGATTGAATCATACTATTCCTTTAAAATTCATATGGAATTGCCAATCCTATGATAATTTTGGAGGAATATAACCAAGATGCCGTACCTCATGCTTTCCATCCTTTGTCTCTTTCAATCTTTTACTTTTTTTTTCCTGCATTTCAATCAAACACCTCTTTTGAAGTTCTCTTGTGGCCTTCGTGTAGGAATTGAGAATCCGTGCCATTTGATTCCTTTTGTTTTCCTATTCATGTGTTCCGAGTTTCCTGCGTTTCAAAGGGGTCCTACTATTTGCAAGAAACAAAATTAATCATCCGTTAGTTTTTGCAAAATTTCGAGGTTTCGATCGAGCTGGCTCAAATTGACAAACCGCTTGGTAAAAACTGGTCAAATTCAAATCGAATATATATATATTTTTTTTTGCAAAAACGTAGTCAGAATATATTTAATGCCAGTTTTTATTTCAATGGTTATTGATTGGCGAAAGGTTTTGTTTGCATATTTATGCATGGTCGCCGCAACGCAAGTATAAAAATTCCAATTTGGCATAATTAAGCATAGTACGTGTAACGACTTGATCGAATTTATTGTCAGATTTAATTAGTAGTGCTAGTAGGTAATTTGAATTGGACATGCAGACACGGTTTAAGCAAGTCAAATTTGCATGTGGCGATGATTGATCAGATCGATGCATGCACATATATTCGAGAGCGAGGCAAGTTGAGTTGAGTTGAGCAATCACAAACTTAGTTGAGCTCAAGGCGTGGAGCTCCACGCTAGAACGGATACCCTCATCTCAATCGGACGGTAAGCCCCATCTCAATCGGGTACAGCGTCCGTCACAGGCTAGAAGTCACTGATGTGAAGAGTTATCTCAATTGGGCAAACGGCCGTCACGAATGAATATATATCAATCGGGCCCTAAGTAAAGCTCGTCACAGATAGCTTTGACCCAGACGACCAGTCAAACTATAGCCCGTTACAGATGACCTATCTCTATCGGGCCACAACTAGCGCCCGTCACAGATGACTACTAACCTTTATCGGGCCTAAACTAGAGCCCGTCACAGATGATACACATCTCAATCGGGCCTAAACTATAGCCCGTCACAGATGACTACTGACCTCACTCGGGCCTAAACTAGAGCCCGTCACAGATGACTACTGACCTCGATCGGGCCTAAACTAGAGCCCATCACAAATGAACTCATCTCAATCGGGCATTTATTTATGGCTCGTCACATATGACTATAATACACACAAAAAAATAAATTTTGTTTTTTGGCTAGCCTTAGGCCTTTGCTAGCCATGCCCGCTACAAAAATGACAGAAACAAACACAGATATCCAATATCCCTAGCTCCCTAGCATCACCCATTCATATACATATGCATTCACATACACAGACATCAACATATTTCACACAACCACACATTCATAGCCATCTCATATTTCACATCCATTCACATATTTAACATCCATTCAAATATTTATCATGTTTCACCTACAAAACCAAGTTAATTGGATCAAATATTTATTTAGCAAGTCTTAACATAAACATATGAAATATATACATAAATATAAACATCACAGTTACATCATCACAGTTGCATAATAAGTGTTCATCATTGCCTAAACATAAAAGTTCAACATTGTTCATCATTTTAGTTTCAGCCTAAACATTCCTTTGGGGTTAATTATTTCGCGAAGGATGAAGCTGGCTATCTCCTCGCGAACCTCCTCAAAGCTGGTAGGCAGAGACTTGGTTATTGTGCCCTACATTGTCATAATTACAGATTAGTTGATCGATCATATATAAGTACTAAAATGTAGTTAGTCTATCACAATTGAGACCACCGACCTCAAACTCAGTCAAAGTCTTCACCTTTTCTCTATACAGAAGGCGCATGTTGTGGCACACATGGAATCCGCACTGGTCACCTATTTGTTGCTTCACCGGGAAGTCTTTTTTGTGGATGAGGGTGTCATGTCCTGTCTTTCTGAGGCCTCCTCTTTGCACGTATTGGGCCCACGCTTCATCTATCGCTAGTTGAATTGGGGTCCAATCATATGCGTTCTTATCAATTCTGGAGTTCAGGTAGTGACATGTACTCCACTTAGGTGTTATGACCAGAAGGATCTAATGGGCACTGCGGCATTAATATAGTGAAAGTTAATTAAGTACTCAAGTAATGTGTCATGCTGTTGTGTATATTTAGTTAACACACTTACTATTGATTATAGGCGCACATAATGTACTCCTTGTCTCGGCGGGACCACAAGGTGTCGTAGATGTAGTTGACCATTCCTTGACGGTCATTCTGAAGATTTGTGACAGTGACCACTTGTGGATCAAGGAAGGCAACTTCCGGTGCATGCTTCTGACACCATTGCCAACTTAACTTACACACAGGATAAACGATCTTGTAAGCAAGTTAAACCGATTGTTATTACCAGATTGAGTTGGGCGACAATACTTACAAGGAGTAGCACTTAAGGAGGCTTGTGTCCACCGCTCAGAGCCTGTAGAGGTCGAAAAGATCCTTGAAGTCGACCACGATATAATTTGTTGGATCAAGGAATGGCTTTCCATCGTGCTCTCCAAGGATATCGGTAGCTTTACTTGGCTTCCTGGCGTTAGATTTCTCCATGTAGTATAAGTGAAGGTCCTTGCAAGCGGTGCCCATTGCGGCAAGCACGTCATCTCCAACCAATGGCATGCCTAGTTGGAACTCCTGTGGAGCGACGTATTTCTTCTTGACCTCTTTGCCCTTAGTCTCTTCCTGGCCCTTGCCTAGATCTAGCTTCCTTGGAGCTAGAAGCGAGGCCTGCACCTTTCCTCCCCTTCCTCTCCCCTTTGCTTCGGGTTTATCGAGAGTAATTCTCTGAGGGGAAGAGTGTGCCTTCCTGCTCTTCTTCATCGGTGGGGGTTCATGAATCACCTTGCTGTCGGCCTCCGTTCGGTCCTCCCCAAAATCCGTGTCGTACTGCAACTGCACATCGTAAGATTGTGCATGACGATCTTGAGCAGGAGGGGCTGAAGGAGCAGAGGCAGGTCTCTTTGGTGGACGACCGCCTGGTGCAGTGGTTGGCCTCGCTGTAACCCTGATCTCAATGAGGTCCTTGGGCCATTGGATGAAGGTACCACGGGCATTTCCTAGTGAGAGGACCTCGTCGTTCGGTGGATACTTCAGAGGGAACAGCTCGTATTCGGGCTTCACCGAATTGACTTGAACTTTTGCACAGTCGGCCCTGAGTTGCGCTCTATGCACTCTTGTCTCTGGGGTCGGCTTGTACGCAAGTCCCTCAGCTGCTGGAACCGTGAAGGTCAGCATCACCCTAATTGTGAGGGTGCAGCTCGTTGGTTCCTGCGATAGATTAATCAATTCTTTTAAAATATTATATATCATATGGATTCGTTAAGTCTTTCATGTATTGAGTAAGTTCACGGTTACCGTTATGTGGTCGACGGCGCTATCGACCGATGTTGGATTTTCCGCCAACTCAGTTGATGCGCAACTGCTTCGTTTTT